TCGTTTGCAAGTCGATGTAATATCATCATTTTACATATAATTGAAAAGAGGTTTTGTCATACTATGGATTTTGTTGTTAATTAGATAATATTATAAGAGACGTCGGATATAAAGAGTTTTGACATATAACATTTTCCTTCATAGCCATTTCATCATCTTTGTGTCGGGGTGACATTATCGACTCAGTGTAAGATAAAATTACAGTAGTAGAAGAGATTGGAATAAAAATTAAATTTATGTACGCGGTCTTTTCTTTTTCTCTTTTTGTTTTTTTTTCTTGTTTTTACATAAATTTTAATTTTCTTTGGCTTCGAATATCTTTCATTAAAGGTATGACATTTTAATACAAACTACTATATCTTTCAGATCATCGTTTTATCAACTTGCAAATATAATTTCTATATTATATCTGTATAAATTTTAGTTGATACAGAGTTATCTAATATTTGAAAATCGTAAGTGAAATTTATTCGCCTCTATCTGGAAGGTTATTGCGATACGACATCACAGAAATTGTACAATCACTGTCTTTTATTCGTGTTTGAAAGTATATTCACGAAAATATTCGATTTGCACGATTACGATTAATTTAAAATATCTAAAACACTTTGTAATATTCAGTAGATAAAATCCTGCCTAGGTTCTACTTTCTTTAATTCTATTTCTGAAGATATAAATTTGTACACAACTCGGTAGATTGTTGTAGATAATTTTTTAAATTAAACTTGTTCAACAACCCCAGGCGCAGAACATTGCGATGGAATGTTTTGAAACTAAAAATTTCGTTTGGGAAAAGAAACGATTATCTCGCTAATTAAACTGCGGATTTTTATGTAAAAGGAAGCAGCATAAAATGGAACACACAGAAAATATAAAGTATCCGTAACAAAGTACTCATTAAAATATTTAATAATTAAAACAATTCTCTAGCTAGATTTCACTCTTGAAATTACATTCGTAAAAATATGAATGTTGATATCCACATTGAATTGCGAATATCAATCACTCCCTTCAATTTTCCACAATTCATCGACAGCAAAATCCCAAATTACCTCTCACGTTATCAATGTCAAAACGACAATGGAGTATATAAAGGATCAAAACGAAGAATTACCCACAGCCTGAATAACACGCAACAACAAGTAATCGAGTATTTTTCTCTTTTTTTTCTTTTTTATTTCTCGATAAATTTATGCAGAATACAGTACTAATTATACACGAGGTGTATTTATACTTTATATCTTGTATTTATATTAATATATATTCTCCCGTATCGTCTCGTCTCCTTGTTTCTCTTAGACGTCGTTACTTAAATACATCACATCAAACGAACACGGTGCTGAATGGTTTTCTCGATTTTATCGATTATGTACACATCTGTTGCGGTTAATTGTGCCGGTTAAACGAACGTTGAACGGTGGAACGACGAACGAAAAAAGTCGAAGGAGAAAACGAACATCGTACGACGTTCGACTGCCATATTATTCCGTCCGGCGATAATTTGTTTCGATCGACGAGAGCCTTTCAGTAATTTAATCGACGATCGTGTCGTACCGTTTTCGTCAGGAACCGATGGAAATCGAACTTTCGTACGATTCGGGGCTTAAGTGGTGCTGTTTTATGCGCACACCCGGTGTATACGTGTGTTATGCGTGTATGTACGTGTATCCTTGAGTTAACTTATCTTATGAATTACGATTATTGGTCGAATATTGTTGTTTGAAGCCTCTCTCTCTCTCTCTCTCTCTCTCTCTCTCTCT